TGTGTGTGTGTGTGTGTGTGTGTGTGTGTGTGTGCATGCTGCTGTGTTGCGCAACCGGCGTTCATCCATTCTGAGTCTGAAAATATTAACTTTGTGCACGAGTGTTATGGTAATTATTTATTTAACAAAGCCAGAAATACGTGGTCAAGAATGAAGGTACTCCGTGAGATGATCAGCTGAGTTTTATTGCAACAACAGGAAACACAGACAACCTGGCCTGTCTCTGTGCCTTTGCTTCTCTCTGTCACTGTCTCTCCACACTACTGTTGAACTCTGTTGTACTCTGTTGAACACTGTGTCTCGAGAGGCCTCATATATACAGTATATTAACAAACACCATTATGCCATCTTAGCAAGATTTGATACAAGGTCAATGGAAAACACAAAGATAAACACAAGTGATATCTAAGAATGACTGTTGTTAGCAAATCTTGTTATGACTTTAATCATTCTGTCTGCAGATGAACAGCATGTCATGAAAACCTAGGTCATTAAAGGATGTCATGAATTACTTGCTTAAACATAAAATTATTAGTTCTATTACAACGAGTTTATTACCATAATTACTGTAAACACAGAGGAACTTAAATGTTTGGTAGAACATACGTAGATCTTAGTTTATTTCATAGCTGATGTGAAGAAACGAGTCTCTGCGTCTCAGACTTTTCATGACGTGACGTGATGTTGGAGAGTCCCCATATGCGCGCGCCGCAGCCTTTCTGCGCAGTCAGTTTGTCTGTCAAGCTTTTGCTCTCCTACTTACAGCATTTTCACAAGTTGTAAAGTGTACTTCCACGTGTCATTTTGGAGAAATCTATAATGTAAATGCCAAGTATGAAATACCTCCACTGCCGGCGAGGGTGCGTGCGCTCCAAAGAGCGACCATAACTCAGCCTTTAGAATCAAATGGATGAGACAATTGCATTGGTCATGATTCAGCTTTGGGTGGACTGGACTGACACAGTCCCGATGGGTCTACCAGCTCCCTCTGGAAAGCTCCTGTGGAACCCCAGTTCAATCGCTGCTGCTGCACGTGCACGCGTGGTGCACACAGCTACTCGCTGCGTCGCGCTCCCAGAGCGCAGCAGTGCCAAACAAAATAAATGTTTTTTTTCTCAAAACGGCTGATGAGCCACTCGTCATCAGAAAWTTCTATCTGTTTATAAATAAAAGCTCTGCATGTTACACTATTTATTATATCCTCCAGTAAGTCTGAATCTGTTCCTGGTAAATGTATTTTTGGCACAACTTTGCGC